TTTTATATTTTTTTTCTCATTTTATGTTGTTTTGTAATGTGTTATTTGTTCGAATTACGTTTGTATTGTACCTTTGTGTGATGCGTTCGTTCCTTTTTTGAAAATTTTTATGGTAATTAGGGTGATGTGTTTGAAAAATTAGGACTTTTGTCGGGTATGTAGTAATTGGGTATTTCTTAATCTTGTGATAGAAAATAGGGCTTTGTCGGGTACTTGGGGTAACTAGGGTTTTTTTCTAAATTTTTTGTGATAAGGGCTTTGTAGGTATGTGGTCCTTCATGCCGGGTAATTAGGGTTTTTTCTTTTTAAAATTAGGAATTTTGTTGGGTATGTGGTCCTCCATGCTAGGTAATTAGGGTTTTTTCTGATTTTTTTTTTTTAAATCAGTGCTCATGTAATTAGGATTGTTTGTACAAAAAACCTCATTTTATTTTTTTGTATATCTGACCAAATGTTCCATGTTATGCAAATGCAGGTGGCACTAACCCATTTTACCTTACTTTCAAAATACATCATGATGGGATTTTGGCTGATGATATAATTAAAGGGCAGCAGAGATATGTTGGGGGTGAGATAAGTGCATTTGATTATGTGGACAAGTACAAAGTAAACATGAGAGATGTCTATAGGTTCTTTGAAGAGTTAGGCTACTGTGGGAAGAAAAAAAATAATAGACTTGACTTGCACCATCAATACAGAGAGGTGCTTATGGAGACTGATCTTTTGTTGGCTGTTGATAAACATCATAAAAGAGAAGTGAAGTTCTATCTAGTGGCTGAGAAGGAAGAAAGGGAATTGGAGAAGGATAGCAATGGGGATGAGGGTGTTAATGAGGCAGGTGAGGTTGAGGGTGAAAATAGAGAAGGGGTGGACAGTGATTCTGATGATGTTGAGCTTGAGAGATATATTGATATGTATGTGGATGAGGAGAACCTTGTGGAGACTCATTTTAAAGCCACAAAAAAAGGGACAGAGTTAGGATTGTCCACTGACAGTAGTATGTCTGTTTCTGAAGATGAAGAAGATAGTAATGATGATGATTTTTGTAGTTTGAAGGGTTCAGATGTAGATGAAGATGAAGAGGAGAATGAGAGTGTTGTGTTCAAGGGTGAGGATGTTTTCAATCCCCATTTTGCAATTGGAATGAAGTTTCCATCCAAGAGTTTGTTCAAGGAAGCAATTTCTTCTCATGGCATCCAAACTCATAGAAGTCTCAGTATCACTAAGAATGATAAGAGGAGAATCTATGCTAGGTGTGAAGAAGAACCAAATGGGTGTCAGTGGGCCATAAAGGCACTTAAAGTGTGTAATGAAGAGGCCTACCAAATTAGAGCCTACAATCACAGACACTCTTGTGCAAGGACATGGAAAGTAAAAAATGCCACAGCTAGATGGATTGCATAAAGGTATGAAGAAGACTTCAGGTCTGATCCAAAGAGATCACTTAAAGGATTCAGAAGAGATGCAGTGAAAAGGCTGAAGTGTCATGTGTCCAAGGGCAAAGCTTTCAGAGCCAAACACTTAGCTTTGAAATCAATTGAGGGATCACATTCTGACCAATATGCAAAGATGTGGGATTATGCATATGCTCTGAGGCAGAAAAATCCAGGCAGCACAATTTTATTGTCACTAACAGATGCTCCTGGACCTGATGGACAAAAAACATTTGACAAGATCTACATTTGTTTGGCCCCATTAAAACATGGTTTTCTTGCTGGTTGTAGAAAATTAGTGGGAGTTGATGGCTGCCACTTAAAGGCTAAGCATGGAGGCATGCTTCTCACAGCTGTAGGGGTGGATCCATCAAATAATCCATTCCCTATAGCATATGCGGTTGTGGGCGGTGAAACCAAAGAGACATGGACTTGGTTTCTTAAAAATCTAAAGGAGGATTTGATGATTCAGAATGATGAAGAATGGACTTTCATGTCTGACAAGCAAAAGGGATTGATTCCAGCTTTTAAAGATTTCCTTACTGGTGCTCAGAACAGATTTTGTGTGAGGCATTTACATTCCAATATGCAAACAACCGGTTTCAGAGGTCTAGCCTTCAAAAGGGCTTTATGGAAAGCAGCCAAAGCCACCACTCTTTCAGAATTCAGAGAGTCAATGAACAAGATTGGTGAACTTGACAAGGATTGCAAGGTTTGGTTTGAGGATAAACCTGCAAAACAATGGTCAAAGTCCCACTTCACACCAACTCCTAAGTCAGACCTATTGTTGAACAACATCTGTGAGGTTTTCAACAGCTCCATCCTAGAAGCTAGAGAGAAGCCAATCTTGACTATGTTGGAATGGGTGAGACAGTACCTGATGACTAGGCTCCAAGAGAACAGAGATATGGCTGAGAGAAAGTGGGAAGGGAGAAAAATATGCCCCAAGATCAAGAAACTTGTAGACAAACAAGAAGAAAAAGCATCTGAATGCATCCCAATCAAATCCAATGACTGGTGGTACCAACTAGACTGCAATGATGGTGCTTCTCATATTGTGAACCTGAAGGAAAGAACTTGTAGCTGTAGAAAGTGGGACTTGACAGGAATCCCATGCAAACATGCATGCAGTGCCTTATTAGCACAAGGGCATAAACCTGAGGACTTTGTGGATGAGTGTTATTCTTGTGACACTTATGCTAAGGTGTATGAACCTGCTATCAATCCTATAACTGGGCCAGGCCAATGGGATAGAACAGGCTACATACCTCCACTTCCTCCAAATTTTGGAAAAAAAAGGGAAGACCAACCAAATTAAGAAGAATGGGAGCAGGTGAGAGTAGCAGTGAAAAAAAAAAAATGAAAGGTGCACACAAACTTCCAAGGCAAAAGTATAAGGTGTCCTACAAGTTTTGCCATCAAATGGGACACAATCAAAGAACTTGTGAGTGGAAAAAGTTAGCTGAAAGTGGAATTGCAGATGGTGCCTTTGAGGAGACACAACATGAAGAGATGACTCAAGGTGATGATTTTCCATCACAAACTCAAGATGATGATAGCCAGCCCCAACCTCAAAGGAAACTAATTGTAAGTGTTTTACTTTCTGTGTTTTACTTTTTTGAATCAAGGATGATGATTTTCTATGTTTTACTTTTTTGAATGCATTTTTGATAGCATATATTGATTTAAACAGGCAAGGAAAAGCACTAGAGGAGCTACTATTTGAAGTCATCAAATTTAAGTCTTCTGCTGCAAATTGTGCACCTTTTGAAATGATAGTTAGTCCCCTGATTGTGAGTGGTATTTGCAAAGGGGTGTTTTGTGAACATGCTTATATTATGACTGTATCAGTAAGTTGTCTTGTTTTGGGAACTCTGAATTATGTTATGTGATGGGTTTTTAATGACTGAAGGTGGATCTCTCTTTGAAATGTAGTGTTTTGTGGATGAAAGTGTGTTTTTTAGATGACTGGTGCTTAATTGAAAGTGGTTTGCAGTTCTGTGTTTTTACATGGAGGTTTCATGTTGTTTCATGCTTAAGTTTTGGTGCTTAATTGAAAGTGGATTGCAGTTTTGGTGCTTAATTGAAAGTGGATCTCTTGTTTTATGTTTGCAATTGAAGTTCTGCATGTACATTGAGTTTCATGCTTGAAGTTTGTGTTCTAATTTATGTAATTCAGGTTCATGATGACTGTTTAAACAATTGAGGTTTTGTGTTCTATTTTAGTAGACAAGAATGAAATTGAAGTTATTTGCTGTGTTTTGTTTCATGCCAAATTGAGTCAGAATGTGTTTCATGGCAGATTAGCAACAAAGTGGTCTGATTTTCATCAAGATTAGCAACAATACATCATAACAACAATAGATAAGGTCCCCATTTGGATACTTGGATACATATTATGCTTATTTCATGATAAACATCCACACCATTGAGATTACAAGTAAAAACAGTAAAATTCTATTCTTCTTCTTCAGTTCTGCATTTTTTTCTTCCAGTTTCTTCATCTTTTTCAAGTACATCTCCTTCTCCTGAAGTTCAGTTGCAGGTTCGACATTTTGGCAATTTGTTTCAGCTTCTAACCGGTTTATTTTACGCAACAAATCGGGGATTATTTCTTTTGCCCTTGCACACATCGGAGGGTCAAACCAATTCCAAAAGGTACAACCATTTTGGCCACAATCCATGTACCTCCTTCCTGGGTTGGCAGGGGTCCATGCGGTTTGTAGACGAGCAACCTTACCGCAAAAACAAAGAACACCGGCTTCTCTTCTTGAAGAGCTTGAAAAACTTGAAAAACTCATTTTTTCCTATGTTTCTGTTGATTTGAGTTGCAAATCTGATGAAGAGAATGAGGGATTTATGCTGTTCTGTGGCTTGTCATTTCTGGTGCAATTTCCCGCCATTTTCAGATGTCATTCTCCCTCCATTTTTGGATGTTAACATTTCCATCCAGTCTGTTAGTTTTGGGACTAAGTTTGGAACGAAAATAAGTTAAGGACTAAAAATGAGCATCTTGGGACTATTTTTGGAACCGCCCTAATTTAACGGGACCAAATTTGCAATTTCCTCCATTTGTGTTTTACATTGTACTTTTTTTTTTTTTAATTCATACTGTAAAAATTGAACACTTCGATTTGTAGTTTTTTTGTATATTCAATACTCAGATTATAATATGGCGACCGTATTTAAATAAACAAAATAATAAAGGAGATGAGATGGATTGTTGGAGTTAAAACCCTACTATATTTGTGAATTATTTGATGTGAACAATATTTATTCAAAGATCATAATATACATTGCAAGAAGCAACCATAATGCTATTCATAGTTAAGAAAATAAAAAGGTTGAAACATTCTTGGCCAAATTCCCCTTCAACCCGTGTTCGGTGATGCACAAATTTAGCCACATTATTTTATATGGGAAATTTAAAGACATGTCTATAATACATTATATGCATATAAATAGAGCAGTATAGTTATAATGCCTTCAATGACAATTATCACACTTACATTTTAATAACTCAGTTTTGCTTTTACCCCATAAATTAATTAACTACATAAAAGAAAAATGGAAAACCAAAGAGTTCCAGGCCAAACTCAGGTAGTATTAATTAATTTCTTTTTGTTGTTTTTCTTAGCCCACATTTTGAATAATAATTAATTTGTGTGTGATTGTAGATGAGGAGGGATAACCCACCATCTGATGCCTACAGCCAAGGCCAGACAACAAACTTCTTTGAAGAGGTAAATATTGTTGTGTGAAAGTTTATTCTAATTTTTTTTTTCCTTTCAAGTTGCATTTTAGATAGATCATAAAAATAAATAAATAAAAAAATACTCGGAAAAGTTCCAATTTTTGGTCTGTTTACTTGTCTGAATACCTTTCTTGGAACACTAACTTTCTCTTCGTCAATAAAAGTACATTATGTTGCAATTATGTCATTTTTTGGAACATATACTCATCAAAAGTAGTACGCTATGTTACTTTGGAAAAGTAAATCAAAATTGACTATTTGCCAAAATTAATATATGGATTTTTAGTCAATGTGGTGATTAATGTACTTAACCTTATTTATTTTCGGGGAAATTTTATGTAGTGCCTGACTTTTTTTATTGTGTCACAATTAGGTTTGAATTTTCAACTTTTTTATTTGAGGGTTTCAATTTTAAGTTATTATCAATATAAGACTTATTTTTACATTCTACTTTTCAATTTAAGACTCCAAGTTACTTTGTATTTTGACATAATTATGTAAACCATAATACTCTTTTTTTTTAAAAAAAAAATATTTTTAAAATAAGTAGAAATATTTTTAGTAAAATTACATTAATAAGAAAATAAATTTATTTAAGCTAAAGTTATTTTGCATGAATGTAACTCATTTGGATTAATTTTCTTACGAAGCTCGTTTTACAAATATATTTAATAATTTTATTATAGGCATTAATTTTATATATTCATAATTTTTTCAAAAATATAATTTTATTCATAAATATTATTTTCTATATGTTTATTTAAAAAAAAATTATTTTTTAAAAAAGTTTATATTTTTATGCTATAACATATTTTGATTAAATTGAGTTAAATTTTATAACTTTTAAAAAAATTCATTAAGATTTTGAATAGAGGTAAATTATGAAATAAATATTTTATAGGTAATTTTACTAAAGATATGAAAAAAAAAAAGAAAAAAATTTACTAAAGATATTTAATATTTTTCATTATAAGTATTTAAATAATAAATAAAAAGTGTATTTTGGTTTACATAATTATATCAAAATACAAAGTGATTTGAAGTTTTAAACTGAAAATTAGAATTTAAAAGTAGGTCTTATATTAAGAATAACTTAAAATTGAAACCTTCAAATGAAGTAGTTGAAAATTTAGGCATTATCGTAACACAATTCAAATTACATAAATTTATTATATATTTGGTGCGAAATAGACTGGAAAGCAAGTGAAGAACATGGGCCAAGGTGCGGCGGAGGTGGGGAAGGGGGCGGTCAACCTCGCTGCCAACATCACTCAAGGGGCAGTAGATGCTGTGAAAAGCACAATCGGAATAAACAACAACAATAACTCCACCATCACCACTAGTAACCTACGTGGCGCTGGCGCCGGCAGCAGTAGCGCAATTCCAAATCTCATGGATACCGACGCTGATGTAGCGGAATTGTGTTATCCAACCAACCACAACAACAATTAAAATCTACTTTTCCATGTTTTGCAATTTATTTATTTACTAGAAATAATTTGGTGGAGAATTGATGGTCTTTCCTTTTGTTTTGTTTTCTTTTGTTGATTTTTGTATTTATTTTCTTTTGTTGATTTTTGTTCAAAGTGGTTCATTCCCATGTTTCCGTGTATTTATTTCATGAAAATAATGTCAAGTGTTTGTTAAGATGTATCATTTCAATGGACATAACTAACTTCTAATAAGTAAATAAGAATAATGATAATCATCTATATCTATATTGTATCTATATCTATATAGAAAGAAAATAAACAACATATTTATCTAAAATAATAACTAAATTCCTATCTAATAATTTCATTGTTACTAAAATCGAGATACTTCTAAAAAATATCTGATAAATCTACCTCGGACATGTTTAAATTTGAAATTCAAAAATGAAGTAAATCTTGAATTCCTATGACTTTGGAATCAAAAATTAATTCTGCATTATCTGATGGATTAGTTCGTAAAAATATAGCGCACATAATCGTTTTTTTAGAATTTAAAGTTTCAAGATTAATAATAAATATATTTCGTCACTGGTCATATTTATCCCAATATATTTTATCACACTACAAATAATAAATTATGATTTTTTTTTTTTTCTGCAACGATAGAGATATTATATAACTAAAGCCGCACAAAGTGTGAAGAGCAAGCAACTAAAAGAGGGAAAGTACAACCAAATGCTGAAAAGACTGGAAGTCCTGATACGAAGATCGCCTAGAGCCTGTCCTAGCAACGCTATAATAACAAACTCGCAACAACACAAACAAAAACTACAAAACTACAAAAGTGATCCCAACAGGATAATGCCCGAGTGTACGATTCCAACGAGATAATACGCTCACACTCGGGTGCGCAGGACCCAACCAGAAAAAAAAAAGACCTAAACAAGCAACCGAAACAAAATTACGAAAACAAAGATAACTACAACTAATAAAGAGCCCTTCCGCAACAAATCTACCAAATGAATAGTCGACCCTTAGAAAACATTTGCAGCCCGAGAAACCGTCGAAACTGTCGAAAAGCCTATCTGAAGCAGAAACCCAGGCCCCAGACATATCCTGAGAGCAGACCCTCCCCTTCGCAGAAAGCCAAAGAGACGCAAATCGCAACCCACAACACCACTCTCCTGAATCTGCTAACATCAGTAGCCAAAGACGGTAGCACCAGTATCACATGGACCCAACACCAGAGACACCGAGGAAAGGGGTTTGAAAGGTTAGCCCGCACGATGAACCGACAATCACACGACCATCCACATTAGAGAAGAGCTCAACCCAGAAGACAGCTCTCGAAACTGCCGACAAAGGCCCAGCGGAAACTGCATCCTAAAACTTCCACCCACTCCAGAAGATGATCCGCCCCACGGCCAGAAGAGAAGCAATCTCCATCACCCCTATCACCGCCGGCATGAGCTCGACTAATACCACTAGCTGAATTCGACAGTGTGGAGATCCCTTGAACTTAAGGAGAAACAGAGGAAAAGGGACGAGGAAGATGCCACAATCTCCGCCCCAATTGCCCTGATGCTGACGTCGCAAACGGCCCGAGCCACACCTAGATCCGACACCAAACCCCACCTAGCGCACCTCCACTGTCATTTTAGAGAGGGTAAGTCACTTTGGGTCCATTATCTTCACCGGAAGTACTGTCATGGATGCGTTGCCCACCCCTGTGGGGTGACGACCACTGCCCGCGACAGAAAACAGTGGAGCCATGGTTGGTAGACATGCTCAGAAGCACATTTTTTGGACTCTGGGTGAGGGAGACATTATTTTTTGGGATGAGTGGTGGTTTGGTGAGGGTCTCCTTTCGAGCATCAGACAGGTCACCTACCTTCTCTTTTTGCAATTGAAGGACCTATGGACGGAGGGGATTGGGATAGGGATGGGTTGGAGAGGATTCTGGGTATGGGAGCGGGATTTTGTGTCCAAGTTATCGATCATATCCAACAGACACCCATCTCGCAGGACGGTTTGGACGGTATGAGGTGAAGACTTACATTTTGGGTGTATTCTCTACGATCTCAGCTTGGGGGGAATTATGGCTGGGAGACCAGCCTAACCTTCTCTTCGGGGTCATCTGGACCGACCTATTTACCCCGACCATCTTTGTCTTCCTTTGGTGCCTACTTTTGCGCCAACTATCGATTGATACTGTGATGCAGGTGAGAGGGTTCTCTTTCCCCTAACGTTGCTACTGTTGTGCTGAGACCGACGACTTCAAGCTGAGACCTTCACCCATTTGTTTCTTGAGAGCGAGACTGTGAGAAGAGTGTGGGAGCATTATACCAGTTACACTCATATTTCCCTAACACAAATTGTTTATTGAACTTCTGTGTTTTTTCATACAGAGCACATGTTGGAGTATACTGTAAAGCAAACTTTTATGTGAGCTTTTGGATTGTATTTATTCCATTTCCCATTTTGACTGAAATTAATGTTTTCACATTGATGCATCTTTATGATTGCTTGTATGCTAAATGTCCAATTATCTTATATTGTAGACAATGTGGTGTGTTAGTAGTCACACAGAAGATTACATTGTCGGTCCCTTATAAGATATAAATGGTATTCACAACTGAGATAGTTATGGACATGACTATCTGTGTAGGTTGTAGTATAAACTGGATGTAGCTTGTCTTGGCTATTGGTTTATACTAGTGCGCTGCATCGCATTTAATGGATCACAGTTGAGACGTGTTCTTCTGTTCTGACTATCATGAAGAACCTAGGTCTCGGTGACTCTACTAGTTCTTAACCCTAACTGTAATACTTAGATATGTGGGATATTTGTTAATTACTTTGATTTACCATGGGTGAGAGCCAAGTATTGGTTCAATATGCTCTGTATCTTGGGTAACAATATTATCTGCATGATATCTATTTATTGGGATTAGGAAACCATGTCCTGGACATCCAGGTTGATGACGTCCCCTTAAGGAACTCATAAGGATTATCGTATAAACCATGCAGGTGGATTTAATCTGTATGATAATAAGGTTGAGTGGTACTACTTAAGGAATAAAAGATATTAATTAATTAAAGCAGTCAGAAGCTTTAATAATTAATGGACGTGTGATATCTTAAACACATGGAATTATATTTAGTCTAATAGAAGCCCTGATTCATTTCGGGATAGGACGGGAGTGCAATATTAATTTTCTAGTGGAATGAATTAATATTTACAGGACAAATTGTGTTCTGGGCTGAACATAAGAATTTGGGCCTGTAGGGAACCCGAACCCTATACCTTATAAGAGATCCCTAGTCTGGCCCAAGGACTCTATAAAAGGAGGGCTTGCACATGTTCTTAAACCCTAAGAAACTAATCACGTCTTCAGCCACCACAGAAAACGTGGAAGAGGAAGGAAACGTGAGGGGTTTAGAGAAGAACAAAGGCAATCCGCTCCTTGCTGCCGTTTGGAGGATCGTCGTCCATCCGGCGTCCAAGCGTGGTCGGGACACAGACTAGAAGATCGCTCAGATCGAATCAAAGCCTCGAAGAATGGTATATCTCTATTCGTTATTTAGGAGCATGATTAGGTTTATTTGAAATCATGTATGTACGTGTTTGTTATCTGATATCGATCCGTGGGAAGGACCGCCTCGTCGGCGTGTTCCAGCGATTGGTATCAGAGCCTCGGTTTCGTAGATTATCGACTCTATCTGGAACATGTAGTTGATTTCGTTTATTCATTTTTTCGTTTTCAGTCATGTTCATGGTATGGATGATTGTTTATCTCGTTTATGCTTCTGGATGGTGTCTAACGCAGCCCTTGTGTATTGTTGTAATCGTTTTTCCCACCAGATAATAAGTGTGGGTAGTATAGGCGATTTTGTAGACTGTAGTAGGGCTGTTCTTTTTCAATTTTTGCTGTAATTTTGTGTTCAAAGTCGAACGTGATGAAAATGATCAACCTGGAGGCGGCTAGGGTTTCAGCATTCACCGGGGGCATTTTCGTCGGTGAAAACCGTTTTGGCCATAACTTTTGCTACAAGTGTCCGATTTCAGCCCATAATACCATTTCGGAAATGGGAGAGCGAGATCTACACATGTCACTGCTTTTCTATTATAGCCTGTGGTGGGGTCAAATTCTATCGTCTAGATGAAGTTTTCGGCCTTTTTCTGTCGGTGGGTGCGAACATTGCGTGAATGGCCTGATTTACGCGAGATGCCGATTCGAGTGTTCATCCACGACCTTACTGAATCATGTAATAGCTTTGATAGGCTGTTAGTTGTTGTTTTTTAAGGGGCTGCGATAGATGTGTTTTAATTTTCACATTTTTTTTATCGATTTGTGGATGCCAATTTAATTTTTGGTAGAACATGTTTATTTGATTATGTGTCTAGCTAATTTAAATCGATTTTTGGCATGCTATAAATCATGTTAATAAGTGCTATAAATTCTTAGAAATCTGTTATTGCTTTTGCTTTGAATTCTAGGAGCATGCTAGGCTTTATGTGATTTGCGTGTTAGGAGCATGCTAGGAATTTTATTATTTCTTATTGCATGTTGTTAAAAAACTTCAAGTAAAAATGACTAAGTGAGTTTAATATGAATTTTAATTAATTCATGTGTCCTCCACAATTGGTCTTTAAGTAAGGTGTTTGTCGCTCGCGGGACCCTGCTCCCCCTAACGGATGCGGCATTCACGAGCTTGCTAGATAAGACTTCTATTCAAATGACTTAATCTTTAGGTGAAGTGAATGGCATACGCGTGACCCATGGGGTCTCTTCCCTAACGGATAGTGTCATTCATAAGCTCACCGGTAAAGATGATTTCGAGATAACCGTAGAAAATTATTTACAAGCGATGTGTCTTCTCCATCGGTAGGTCCATCAATTGTGGAATGGTTGTTCTTGGGGTTAAATTGTGGTCATCACTTAGATGTGAATTTTAATATAACTCCCCAACGGAGTCCCTGTTTTGATTCACATGGTCAGTGTTAAAATTTCGACT